CTCCGTCTTACCCTCCGATTCTGACTCGTCTTCTTCTGCGTCAAATAGCTCCGAGAAATGGGATGTGACTCGGACTCCTCGATTCTGCAGGGCTGCTGGATGAGCGTGCAGGGTTCTGCCTTTTAGGAGAGGAATTTGTACCCACTGCTGAGTAGGCGATGACGAGTGGTTTGGTCCGCCCGGCGCTCGGCGTTGCGGTTTGCTTTCCTCCGCTGACTGCGTATTGGCTGGAGGGCTAGCTCCGGCCACTGACGACCCGGTCAGGTCTGGCTCACTCTCTGGCTTGAGTGCTTCTTCCTCGTGCTTATACGCTTGCTGGCGCACCTTCAAGCGGGCAGCCATACTGCGTTGCATGTCTTCTTTGCTTTCGAACGCCTTGGCTAAGTTGTCTAGAGCAGCTACTTGCTGATCCACTGCAACTCGGCTTCCCACTCCCCTCAACTCTTCAGCTGATAGTTGGCAGCGGGCCATCAGATGACCAAGGTTGCCGCACCGGAAACACTGAAGCTGTTTCAGCGCGTAAGGGTGCTTGAGTATCAGCATTCGTCCAAACCAGACGATACGTACAATTTCCCGAAGGTATTCAGGGCATTCTGCCGATTTGATTTTCAACTTCCACGCGGTCGTTCGTAGCGAATTTGGAGTCCATATCGACAAGCTCGAACGCAGTTGCTAATTTCTTCTTCAAATAGGCTGATAGTCTTCCGATGTCAGTAAACCGCGTGATGTTGTGGATCTCAATTTCATACTCCTGCTGCGCTGTACGTCTGACTCCGTCACTTTGGAGTTGGCGGTCTCAAACGGAGCCAGTGTCTGCGGGGTGCGTGTTGGCGAGAGAATACATGACCCCTCTGAAAGGGACCAGTACCTCTTGGTATTTCACCGCCGTGGCTCTGTCGAAGAAGTAGATGTGAATACTTCTTTTCAGGTCATTGTACGCGATGGTCTTTGCTAAGTTGAGCATGAGCTGGAGTTCTTGAATATTGATCCGCGCTTTAGCCGCATCGAGCAAAATGTCCTCCTTAATGAACCTGGTCTACTGCCTGCACTCGTTCACCCTTGCTCGACCTCGCAGTTGCATCACTAGTTCCCCTTCGACTTGCTGCTGGATGGTAGTATGCAGCCGTAGCCTTTCTTGCGAGTCAAACACACTGCTCAGAAAGTCCGGCATCCGGCGGCACGCGATTGTTCCTTCCGCAATGCCTACGATAATTCTCCATTCCTCATCCGTCGCCTCTCGTAGACGACGATCTCCATGATGTACGTGCGTTTGTTCACAGAGCCGTCGCAGCTTCATGATTTCCTGCTGCGAGTAGCAGGATGGGTTGAACATGAAGGGCTCGTATTGATCTCGCTGCGCTCCACGAGAACTAGCAGATGGCGATGGCATTACCTTTGCCCTGGTGCCCGACTTCACCTTCTCCGCCCATTGATTCATCGGTGGTGTCCTGGCCCATCTCACCTTACTGATCCTGCTGTACATGATGTTCTTAAACGTCCATCGCGTACTCAGCAGGTCCTGAACCACGGATGTGAGACAGGTTTTCCTTTCTGAGTAGGATCCGGCCACCACAACATTCATCTCTCGGAAGAGGTTGTACAACAACGCCTTCTCGTCACCATGTAACTTGGGATACCGCTTTTTGTTGGGCGGAACTTTGTCGTCATCAATACTTACAGAGTTATGAACAGTTACGTATAACGCCACGATCGTCATGACCCATTCGTCTCTCGGCTGCTCTCTGGGATTCGCTTTAATCAGCTCGACAACTGCCTGAAACATCTCGTCCGGTTCCGCCGCTCTCTCCTCCTCCGTGACGGTCGAGGATGCCTGCCGAGCTGGCAGGTCTGATCCGGTTGAGTGTCGGGGTTCCCCTCCTGCCTGCTCGGTCTGCTGAACTTGGACGTGGTGATCCTCCCTGGGCATTTCGGATGTTGCTGCATTTGCGGTCTCCGACGCCACCTGGGGTACCTCTGTACGTTGCTCGGACAGGTCTGTTTGTTGAGACACAGATTGGTGTGTCTCCTCCGTCAGCGGTGCAACACTGGGCTTTGAGCTGGCTTGCATCTCTATGTCGTCATCCTCTGTTTCTTGCGTTTCTGGCACGATCGAATCCTGGGACTAAATCATTTGCGCCTCTTCGATCGCGACCTTTGAGTCTTCGCTCTTTTCTCTCTGTTTCTGTGTTTTCTCCCCGGGCGATCTCTCTCGGCCGCATTCCAGGTCCTCTGCTGCCCGTCTTGCTGCAGCTGTCCCTGCATCCCCACCGTGCTGACTGGGCTGCGGCGAGTTGCCTCGTCCCCTGTCCGGTGGCGGTGGCCGTGGCGGCTTCATCTCGATCGCGCTCTCACTCGAAGTTGACACCAAGTTTTCCTTAAGTTATACTCTGCCTCGGGAAACTGATGTTCCCACTGCGTCGCAGATTGGAGAGTGATCTTCTGTAAAAGTGTTGAGATAATCCGAAATGAGCTCTGTGCGACGTAAGCAGTATCACCCTCATGCGTTGAGGCCTCTGGATCTTGTTCATCGTCGCTCATGACCAGGGCTTAATATCAATAAGAGATACCAGATTAAAATTTTAATATCGTATTCGATGATACCTGATATCAGAATTCGATAATACAGCGTAGTCTGTAATATCAGGATCACAGGTCCCGTATATTAAATGGAGTATTCACTGATGACACAAAATAAAAAATACGCAAAACCAAATATTTCTGTTTGTCTTGATTCACCGTAAAACCAACAGACGGGTCTGAACATTATAAATCGCCATTTTTAGCTTTTCGCTGTAGCCAAACCCGTATTTTCGCAGTTTCCATTTCTCTCTCATGCAAAATTTGCTTGCAAATTGGCCTTGCCAAAAAAGAATAGTCTGGTAAGCATTCCGTGCTACAACTGTATCACGATGTCGACATGCTGGCGTGATCAGACCGAACGAGAGCTCGTTTCCTGAATTAACTATCTTAGCTAGAATCTACTCGGAAAGCCTCTCTCGGCAGGAGCACTTTTTCAGTATCAGCAGCTACGTAGTAAACGAGCTGCGGACCAGTTTTGACGAAGACCGGGTGGAAAACGGTTGTGTATTATAAAGTCCAATCGGTCGGAGTACCGAGCACACACTATTTACATGTAAGATCGGGGTAACCAAGAAGCGCAAGCGCAGCTCGATAATTATAAATTAATATCCGATTACAGTATCATTTATCTGATATGATACTGATATCGCCATGATCCAGTGTCAATACCAGGAAATCTTCAGTCTGGCACGATTACACTCAGTATCAGGATCACAGATACCCTGAAAAGGCCGATGATATGAAGCCCTGCTCATGACTGCGGTTCAGCGTCTCACATACACTATGCTATGGGAAAGAGGGTGCTATGCTACCTGAGTGGTACTCAAGACTACGGCTTAGTGATGAACATTGTTACTGGGAACAATGTCAAGCTTACGTGCTACACCGATGCTGACTACGCTAATGACCCTGGTGACCAAAAGATTGTTAGCGGGTTCGTGACGTTCGCTAACGGTAACGTGGTTTCTTACGGATCAAGAAAGCAAGATATCAGCACACAGACGCACAGCTGAAGCAGAGTAAATTGCTACGAATGAAGGTACTAGAGATCTACAGTGGCTACGTGGACTCTGTGAAGAACTACGCTGGGAGTTTGCGACTCTGGAGATCCTTGGCGATAACAAGTCGTGCATCTATCTGACTGCCAAGCCTGGCAAGCACAGCAAGGCAAGCACATTATGAGCAAGTTCCATTAGGTGCGCCACCTCGTGGAGGACGAGCAGCAACGGATTCGCCATATTGGCACCAACGACATGATCGCCGACGCGATGACGAAGCCGCTGCCGAAGGACAAGTTCGAGCATTGCCGTGATGATACGAAGGTGCTGTGCATCGACTGTCAGCAAGGCTCAGCTCGTTCAGTGGGAACCAAACATCATCGCCGTGCGTGAATGCAAGCTACTACTATCAGTTCATGCATGCGAAGGACAAGGAGGAGAAAGAGCGATGCCAAGAACGAAGAGCCATGCTGCAGCGCAGTTAGAAGACGCCAGGGACATCCTGGTGAGCTCCACAAGGTTATCATGTTGAAGCTGCGCTTCGACAAGATCAAGTGGGAGTGTCAAGTGTGGAGGGAGAGCCAGGACTGCGTCCAGCTTCAACCTGAGGCTCAGGTGCCTCGAGGGCGGGATGCTCCCGTCCAGAAGCCGGACTTCGACGGACCATTGGCTGGCAAGCCGCCAGCCCTATTCTACTGCTAATCCTAAGAATATATTACCGGGGTTTTCCGTGTGCTTGCCCACTCGACAGCTTGCACCGTCAAGAGCAAAAAGCAGGCAGCACTCGGCTATTTTCCCTGCTGGACTTCCAGTCCCTGTAACTAAGCGTTGCTGCGACTACTTCCTTCATCGTCATGGTCACCACCCGGAGCAACCGAGGAGCGACCATCACTCAACAGCAACTGTCCATAGAGCAAGCCGAAGCTGTCCGTGCAAATTCTTTTCTCCATAAAGGTTGGTGCGCTCATATGCTGTTCGCTCTTCACGCACGATTCGGGACTAATCCACCCGACAAACGCAAGCTACACAGTTGCAGTCGGCGCAACAAGAGGAAACCCACGGAGGCACGGATTGCCGAAGCTGTTGCGACCACGGAAGCGACGAGAGGACGATCAGTACTGAATGGGCCTACATTAGCGTATGTGTAGTTCAGTTCTGTCCACGATTCCCTAGAGCTACGTGCGATCTTAACAAATGCATTCACAGGAGCTCCCCACTCATAATATTCGATCAAGTGGTGAAAATATGATTGCAACTCATAGGACTTTTAATGTGAATTCTCTGAAATAAATACCATTGATACGGTATTAATATTACAGATAAAGTCTAAAAAGCTATAAAAGTTTTTTATCTGCTTAATTAAAGAAGGTAGTTTCTGCATAATTCGTTGCATTTCGCTATTATAAGGCAAATTTCTGTGAGTCACATGAAGTGGCTAAACATGGCTTCAGGCTGTGACGGCAATGAGCAGTACAGTATTGTTTTAAATTCTAACCCACACTCTCGAAGACGGAAGTTCGTACTATCACTACCGGTTTTGTGGCAATTTTTGAACTGCATCGTCGTCTTGACAGCTATCGCTGCCATTCCAAACGATTATATCCTGCGTACCAGGTAGTATTTCACTTCTACATGTAGTGACACTTGAGGAACACTCCTTTGAGGTTTGGCCGGCTCCTGACCTGGAAGGTGCAAACTTCTTCAAGTACCTTCTAATTCTGGCCTGATCGACTGATAAATGTTGTGTTAAACGTCTTGTTATCTCTCCATTTTTTTATGACCCCGTTGAACGCTGTTTATCTGCTTAATCCCTCAACGTACCAAGTGTACAACCAGATGCAGCCCGCCATCATACCGCTGCGTTTCTGTGACTCACATGCGCTTGCTCAGTATAGGTGCAGGCTGTGACCGACGTTTCCAATGCCGACAACATCAGTTGAACTCCTTGAGCAGTATTGTATCCTTGGCTATGCTTACTCACACTCTCCAGGTCCGACGTTCGGCCAGTACTAGGGTCCGTACCCAGTGGACGTCGGAAGTAATAAAATGTGCGGCTCCGGTCTGCAACCACCAAACCAAACGTAGCACAGGGAAAGGCTTAGCATCTTTAGAAATGCTGGGAAACCCCGGAACGTACTTGTGAATAGCATAGTGAACCCATCCGCGACTCTGCTGCACGCCCAGTTGGCGCCACTCTGTCTCTGTAAGTAAGCGATCGGGTAGACTACGCTGCATCTCCTTCGGCAAGATGACGTGTCTGCAACGGCAACAAGATGGAAGAGTCAACAAAAAGACCGTGGATGCTTGCCGATTATCGTTTTCAAAGTCACTTTAGCGCGCCACGTGGAAGTCTCAACGCACCTGTACTCGTGGGTATCGTCCACGTACTTCTCCGAGTACTCGATGCGCGACGACAAGTCGTGGGTCATAGCTGCTGAGTCTCTCACGGACGATGCGGGCTTCGGCCTCGCGCTTCACTTGTCGACTGATATCTGATTGGCTGAAAGGAATCACAGAGCGATTCGTACTTAGTACGAGAATAGCATGAAGCGACGCCAAAAGCAATGGGTACACTTTTCTGCTGAGCAAGACGGGCACCATGTCGCGCGAGAACGGCAAGCAGATGGAGACGGACAGTAAGGAGGCGGGTCTTAATGCAATGTAAATATGACTAATAGTATGGTTTCTATGTAGTGGACGAACACGGGGACATGAAGAACGACGCGATAGCGCAAGCTCACGTCGCATTGGAGCAGTTCACGCAAGAAAAAGAGATCGCGAAGCACATCAAGACGTGGATGGAGGAGAAGTACGGCCCTACATGGCACTGCATCGTGGGCTCCGAGTATAAAACAGCCTTCACGTACGAGAGCAAGAACTTTGTGCGCTTCAACGTCGGCAAGAAGTGCATCACACTCTTCCGTCACCCATAGAACAACAACAAGACTAAAACTGTAGGTTTGCAAACGTGTTCTTTGTCTTTATCAAAGACCTGAATACTACAGATACAGGTCGCCTACGCCTTCACAAGCCTCACACTGTAGCCATCTGCTTAGAACGAGGCGTTGCCCGGCCATCTTGGGAACGGGATCACGTCACGGATGTTCTCAATGCCAGTCACGTAGCGAATAAGGCGCTCAAAGCCCAGACCGAAGCCGGCGTGGGGAACCGTGCCGTACTTACGCAGCTCCACGTACCACTTGTAGTCCTCTGGGTTAGCTCCAGACTCCCTGATCCGAGCCTCCAGCACATCCAGACGCTCCTCACGCGCCGATCCGCCAATGATCTCGCCCACATTCGGCACCAACACATCCGCAGCCGCCACCGTCTTGCCGTCGTCGTTCAGACGCATGTAGAAGCTCTTGAACTCCTTGGGGTAGTCGTAGATCACCACGGGCTTCTTGTAGACCGTCTCGGTCAGATAACGCTCGTGCTCTGAGCCAAAGTCCGTGCCCCACACCGGCTTGACCGAGAACTTGCCCTTCTTCAAGTGTTCTGGCTTCAGTAGCAGCTCCACGGCGTCCGTGTACGAGATACGCACGAACGGGGACTCCACAGTAGCTGCCAGACGCTCCAGCAGGCCCTTCTCGACGTTCTTGTTGAAGAATTCCAGGTCCTCCGTGCAGTGGTCCAGTGCGTATTGCACACAGAACTTGAGATAGTCCTCAGCCAGGTCAATGTCGTCCTTGAGGTCGGCAAACGCGATCTCGGGCTCAATCATCCAGAACTCGGCCAGATGACGCGACGTGTTCGAGTTCTCGGCGCGGAACGTGGGGCCGAACGTGTACACGTCCGATAGGGCGCAGCAGTGGGTCTCCACGTTAAGTTGGCCCGACACACTGAGGTAGGACGGACGGTCGAAGAAGTCCTTGGTGTAGTCCACTTTGTTCTCCTTAGTGAGCGGTAGTTTGCCGTCCGGGTGCTGGCTGAGCAACGTCGAGACGCTGAACATCTCGCCGGCACCTTCGCAGTCCGACTCGGTGATGATCGGCGTGTGGATGTACAGGAAGCCGCGCTGGTTGAAGAATTCGTGCGTGGCGAAGGCCATGGCGTTGCGGACGCGCATGGCGGCGCCGTGGATGTTGGAGCGTGGACGCAGATGCGCGTGGGCACGCAGATGTTCGAGCGTGTGACGTTTCTTACTCATGGGGTACGTGGCACTGTCGGGAATACCACCGTAAACCGTAACCTTAGAGGCCTTAATCTCGACTTCTTGGCCCTTCGCGGGGGACTTGACTACAACACCTTCCACGCTGAAGCTGGCACCGACACCGCCTGACGCGATGGCATCAGCGAATCCCTCGGTCTCCTCCTTGTTGATGACGCACTGCACGCCGGCGAAGCACGAGCCGTCGTTTAGCTCTAGGAAGGCGAAGGCACCGGCGCCAGCCTCACGCAGCGTCTTGGCCCAACCCTTGACGGTCACCGTCTTTCCCTCGTGCTCCAGGCCGCTGCCCAGAAGCTCCTTGACGCGGATGCGGTTGCGACGGAACAGCGTTGGGGCCGTCGTCTGCTTAGCGGAGGGGACCACAGCGTCCATCGTTTCTATCGAGATTTCTAACTGAGCTCTTGAACTGCGTGGCGCTTGTTGCAAAATGAGATTTTGGTTGCTTGGATCGGGTGTCAGGCCGCATAAACAGGTGTGATTGGATGAATTTCATCGTTCATAAGGGTTTTCACGAATATTAGTGGATAAAATTGAGTCTGAGGGGATGGACTACCGGTAGCAAACTTCTTGTGGCGTTGAATGAATGCAGGATGCTGCGTCGGACGCTGCAAGTCGTGGGTGTGCGTGTGGAAGCCTCCAAAGCCGGTAAAGTGGCTAAAAAGCTGCAGAGCCACCTGTTGAATCTACCCAAACTGAGTAATGTGGCGCCTGATCCCTTGAGCGGACGGATAAAGCTCATTCTGCTCAGTACCAACTTGCGCACGCCCGAAACATTGCAACCACTACGCGAGCAGTTGGCAGGGTTTCTGCACGCTGAGAGCTTCAACTTCGTACCTCACACTATTCGAATGGACTGTACTCCGGATGAAATAGATTTGGGTACCGAACCAAAGAACAGGAGAGGAGAGAGACCTGGTTGTCGATTTGGGGCGTGTCCTTTCAACCCGTCGGTCCGGATAACGTCCATCAGCTGCACGAAATGAACGAAAAGCTGTTTCCTGTCAAATATAATGACGCGTTCTATGAATATGTGACGGATGCACCCGAGGGGTACTGTAAACTCGGTACGCTACCGAAGTTGATTTAGTGGCTGGATTTATGCTAAGAGTTTGCTACAGCGTATGCAGACGATGGGGCAGCAATTGGCTCAGTCTGCTGCGAGGTGGAAAAGGTGAAGATATCGGGCAAACGTCGCTATTGTCTGTGCATTCTGACGATCGGCGTGGTGGATGAATATCGCCGCTCCAAACTAGGTGTGGTTCTATATACTACTGTACTGTAGTACTTCGAAGTATTACACTCTGTTTCTTGTGCTGTAGCTGCTGACATTCCATGCATCTTGTTGACTGATGTCATTGTTTTCTTTTGCAGGCAGCTTGCTGCTCGAGAGTGTCATCAAGCAGGCTCGCAGAGACAAGCTGGTCTACGTGTACTTGCACGTGCTGAGCTCCAATACCGCCGCGCATCGCTTCTACTTAACTCACGGCTTCGAAGTAATCAAGGTTCTGCGCAACTACTACTCGCAGCTCAACCCGCCGCACGGCTTCGTTTTGCGCAGGCGGCTATGATAACTCCAGTTGTGAAGTGAACAACTTGAGGGGCATAACGCATGGTACATGGACAATATTTCAGACGTTGGGCGTTGTGGAGCGTGTGGCTGCGGCTGGAACACTCGTTGCGTTGTTAAAATGGACTCAGACGTGGTGTTGAAACTGGTGGAACAAATCTATCGTGGAAGGCTTCAGATTCAAAGTGCTACTACATGTAGCACTTAGAAATGGCTTATGGCGATGTGGACCGAGGTACATCTGTGAACATTGTCTAGGAAATTGGCCGTTCAAGCGTGAAAGTTGGCTTCCCCTCAAGTTGGTGCGAGTGTGCGTGTCTTGTGTTGTCTCTCCCCTATGGCACTAACAGAAGCTACGACTTTCTAAAAAGTGCTGTCTGCTCCGACGCTTCCTTGCTGTTCAAAACAGCCAGATCAAACGCTTTCTCGACATCAGCGCACTGTGTCTTCGAGCCAATATTTTGGAATGAACAAAGTGGCGTCTGTAGGAAATGTAGAATCGAGTAGATGTGAATGACTTGGATTGAACGCGTGCCAGACGCGTTTCGGCCCCCGCCGGGCCTCGTCAGTGGCTTTACCAATCTCGAAGTGAGAACTAACCAACCATCCGCTAGCTAAGACCTATCACTATGCCTAGATCCTTCTAGAACCTTCCATGTGCCGTAACATAGGATACTACTCTGGAGTCGATGTACGTGCACATCTTGCACTTCCAACACTCCCCCTCGACGACATGAGTCGTAGCCGTCTTGGTCACGAGTGTACAGCCATCGGCTGCTCTCCGCATGATGCTTGTCAGCTGCAGCCTCTTCACTGCATACATTCTTGTAGGGTTTACCACCTGCGCGCTGGCCAGCGTAACCGTTGCTGCCGCGATCGCTAGGTTTCCCGGCTCCCTCATGTTCACCACCACGTCGTCCCTTGACACCTTGTAGCCGTCCTTGAGCCTTGCTTGAGCTTGTTGTTGTTCCCCTTCTCGATCGACCTCTTTCGATCCACCACTCACACCACTCGAAACCACCTCCTTGTGCAGAACTCGGCCGTCCTTTTCCCGAACGCAAAGAGCGACTGCGTGTCCACCGCGCACTTGTATGTTCCGCTCCCCCTGTCGTCGGAGCCCGTTGCTTCCGCGACGACTTGAGCGTGATCTCCTCCAGCGCGTATTCCGCGTACACCGCAGTGCCCATACCAAGCCGTTTGGGCTCATAACCTGTAGGAAATGTAGAATCGAGTAGATGTGAATGACTTGGATTGAACGCGTGCCAGTCGCGTTCCGGCCCCCGCCGGCGCCTCGTCAGTGGCTTTACCAATCTCGAAGTGAGAACTAACCAACCATCCGCTAGCTAAGACCTATCACTATGCCTAGATCCTTCTAGAACCTTCCATGTGCCGTAACATAGGATACTACTCTGGAGTCGATGTACGTGCACATCTTGCACTTCCAACAGCGTCATCAAGAACGCTACTTACAAGTAACTTGGTCGTGCAAATGCGCTGGGGGGGGGCTGAGTTAGCTCGATGCTTTCTTTTTGCTATTGCAAAGTTCGAGATTCTTAAACTTCGGTCGCGCTGAGGGCGGGAAAAGTGCAAGTAGATCGGGGACGAGTCTGCAATGAACGCCACATTTAGCTTACGCAATACAACACATAAGTTTAGGCCCATACTTACTTCAGCGCTTTCTTCCGAAAGTTCTTGCTCTTCGGCATAATCAAGCGAACCAGATAGAGCAATTCCTCGAGCTGCGCGCATTCCTTACGGGTCATGCTGGAGCCTTTAGCCAATTGGAAAAGCGCTCGAAGGCCATCATTGCATCGAGAAGCCCAATTCGACTGAGCGCCCCGGTCTGCCGTCGCCAAAACCGCCGCGTAGAACTTTGTACTCGCGTGGAGAAGAGGCTGGAAGTACTTTTGCTTCTTTTCCTTGTCGCTCGACGTATCAGTCCGCAATTTGTTCCACATTCGAGCTACAGGCTTGATCAGCGCTTCAAGATCTAGCGAGCCGTGACTCTTCTCCACACTAGCAGCGCGTGGGTCTCTTTTCGGTGGTAAGGACTGAAGATCGAGGCATGGGACGAACGAAGATGCCGTCATCGCCTGTAGCCATTCGTCCATTGCTTTCCTTCTCGACTTTTGCGCACAGCTGTCCTTAAAGCCACCTATCCGATGCTTCATCTCGTCCAGCAACTGGAACATCTGCGGGTCATCCCGCGGTTGCCAGTGGTGAAACTCATTGGCTGCTGTGAAGATGCTCCTCACAAAGCTCGATAAGCTTTTGTGCCTTGCCACAGTGTACCCAGATATCGGAGTCACTTGGATCTTCTGCAACTCGGTTGCCATTCGATTCCGTACAGTCTGCGTGTCTTCCTGGAGAGTTTTCCGTCTCACTACAGGCGTCGACTCGGACAAGTCCACAGTCGCCTTGCGCTTCTTGCTGCGTGTTGGCGGCGTCACTTCCACCACCTCTGGATCGTCGTCTTCGTCATCAGAAGATAGCTCGTACTCGCTGGTTGTCGGCGATGCAGTTGCTGCTGGTTTCGACTCGGAGACCGTGGGGGCGGCTGATGACGTGGGCGTTGCTGGTTGGTCTGCGGTTGATGAGGAGACTGCGCTCATATTGCGGTGTAGAAGCCGCAGCAAGGGGCCGATCTGGTTGCAGGACTCGCCCAATTGGCGGAACGACGTTTGCACCTGCTCCGAAGCGTTCAACACCAGCGACTTGTGGACGTCCCGAGACGCCTGCGCCACCTTGAGCGTTCGCTCCAGCGCCGAGACCACTTGTTGCACCTGTTTGTCTGCCTGTAGCAGCTCTTCAAGCACTGCATCGACGCAGTGCTGCCGCAACTCGGCGTCACCCACCCGAGACAGGATGGCGTCCATTTCGTGAGCTTATCTAGGGCCAGTGACTTAAATGTGAGTGCCCATTAGGGTTTCAAAGTTGTCATTAATTAGGATTTTTTTTGGCGGAGATGAGCCTCATTTTTGTCGAAAAATGAGGGGGCTTTCAGCTCTGAAACACCACTAAATTGCCGCAAAAACCAGAAATTATCTTGTTACTCGTAACCCCGCGTGAACGAGTCGCAGGGCGTGAACGAGTTGCCGCGCGTGAGGGCGTGAAGGAGTTGCCGCGCGTGAAGGAGTTGCCGCGCGTGAAGGAGTTGCCGCGCGTGAAGAAGTCGCTGCGCGTGAACGAGTCGCAGGGAGTGAGGGCGTGAAGGAGCGTGCTCTTCGGCGGAGATGCGAGCTGCACCCTCGATCCAGCGGTGATTCAGCGACTGTACTACGTGAACAGCGAGCGGGACCGACATTCGCAAGGTTCTGGGAGGGCATGGACCGGCATCGCCGTACAGGTAGCGCAGGACACGGTTGGTCGTCTGCATGGCGAATACCAAGAGGCCGTAGCACATCGGGTTATTGCGGTAACGTGCTGGGCTTGCACGGTGATGGGTGCTAGTGAGCAGGCCCTAATAGGCAACAGTTCAGTGCTACGAGCTCAAATGGGAACTCACGCGCGATGCACCGTAGCCCGGAGCACCAAGCCGAAGTGGCGCAATTCGCGGTCCACACGGGCTCCACAAGATAATTTCTTCCTGGCTGGTGTTGTGTGATTCTGTTGGATTAAGGCTCTACGAAAGATCTTCATGTGGATATGTGGCTTGCTACAGCGGCGCAATTTGGTCAACAAGTGACAAAGCTTCGTCTTCGGGCTTGCCACGCTGCAGAAGTTGCAGAAGTTGCAGAAGCATCGTAGCTAGGGGCAGATTGGGCAAGGTTAAAACTCAAACTTGGTTCACCAGCTTCAGCACTTCCATACAAGCCTCCTTGAGTGGACCCATCACTATTTGCTGACGGATTGTCCATGGTAGAGAATGGAGAAATGTTTTGCCGGCCTCCAAACAGGCCTTCGATGTCGTAGTAGAACGGACAGCTTTTTCAACAGCTTCTTCGAGCGCCAGCCCTGCTTCGAGCTGCGATTCAGTAAGGCCAAATCCCGTCTGGGAGTCTAACCTTTCCCTGATTTTCCTAAACACCTTAAAGTAAGATGTCCAGCGGCTTTGGCATGTAAAACCATCCCATCGCTCGGTATACTTAGCCGGTATCGGCGAACCTGCATCCGCAAAAGTCTTCAAGCAAGATGTAAACACGTACTCTGCCATTTGACCGAAGCCTGAAATCTTTGTGCGCCCCTCCAAAGCCAGCAGAGTGGTCGTAATTTGCCTTGCCCACAATCACATTGAAATTAGCCGGTTTTTTCAGCCATTCCACCATAAACTGCCTCTGCAGTAAGGAGGTGTGGCCACCCTTCTGGCCCTTTTGGCGTGCCATGCTGTACCCTTCGCTTCCCAGCCACCAGATTCAAAAGTAACCAGGTTATATATTTAGCGGCGTACCCCTAAAACTGAGAACTAAAAAAATCAGCTGGAAAAATGCGTCTCGGGAGGCGCATTTTTCGACAAAAATGAGGCTCATCTCCGCCAAAAAAATCCTAATTAATGACAGCTTTGAAACCCCCTAATTAATGACAATTTTGAAACCCCCTATTGTCATTTTCATCATAGAAATATCATTAAAATATTTCGTCATGTTTCTAACCTAAACGGTAATTTTATAAACAACTGACAGTTATTGTGTACGCCACACTACTCTCAATTGGCCATCAATTACTATTTGTAGCCATTTCAGATCACCATGTCGAAGCCTTTGCTGGACAAGACTCTGTTCAAGAAGACGCTGGATGTCGTTGGCGTGCGCGTGGAGGCCAAGAAGATCGGCCGCGTCGTGAAGAAGCTCCACGGCCATTTACTGAACCTGCCACGTCTGCGCAATGTGGTGCCGGACCCGACCAACCCGGACCCGTACAAGAACTCGAGTAGCAAACTTATTCTGCTCAATTCCAAAGTAAAGGACATGGAGACGCTGCAACCACTCAACGAAGACCTGGTAGCCTTTTTAAAAGAGGAGAGCCTGGCCTTCGTAAGCCACGCCATCGAGCTGGACTACAGCTACTTTGCAGTGGACCAGGTGCTCAGTGAGCTTCTACCCAAGGGTATGGACATCCCCAGCTCCTTCGAGACTGTCGGACACATCGCACACCTGAACTTACGCGACAACCAATTGCCCTTTAAAAACGTGATTGGACAAGTTATTCTGGACAAGAACGCACAGATCCGCACGGTCGTCAACAAAACGGACAACATCGAGACCAAATTCCGCACTTTTCCCATGGAAGTGCTGGCCGGTGACGACGATATGGAGGTCGAGGTGCATGAGAGCAAAGCCTCGTTCCGCTTTAACTATGCAGAGGTGTATTGGAACTCGCGTCTGCAGCAGGAACACTTGCGTATCATCCGTCAGATCAAGCCACACGACGTCGTGTGCGATATGATGTGCGGCATCGGCCCGTTCGCCGTCCCCGTGGCGCTCAACGGCAGTAAAGTGTACGCAAACGACCTGAATCCTCGTAGCTATCACTATCTGAAGGAGAATATCGCACTTAACAAGGTGGAGAAGCTCGTCACGGCCTACAATCTCGACGGTCGGGACTTCCTGGCCAAGTTACTGAGTGAGAAGAAGCAGTTCACGCAGGTTCTCATGAACTTGCCGGCGATTGCGCTGGAGTTCCTCGACGCGTTCCCGGGACAGTTCGACCACTGGGAAGGCGAACTCCCGTTTGTTCATTGCTACTGCTTCTCCAACGCGGACGACGTCAAGCAGGACGTCAAGCAGGTACAGTACACTGGACGTCGTACAGAAAATGTTTGTACTCACGCTTTATATATTGCAGCGTGCTGAGAAGATCATGGGCGGAGAATTGGACCCGGAGCGGACGTCGTTCCATCTGGTGCGCGACGTGGCCCCCAAGAAGGTCATGGTGTGCATCTCCTTCCAGCTGCCCGAGTCTATCGCGTTCAGCTCGGAGCGTCAGGCGTCGAAGCAGGACGACCCGAAGCGGAGAAAGGTGGCGGCTGAGAACGCAGCTTAGTGCAGTGCTTGTTAGAGGGAAATCTAGAATGTTCAGTCTACATTTCAGCTTTAGTCTCTAGGGAGTGAGCTGTCTGCGTAGCACGTAGCAGTCTGGCGGCTCGATGTGTTTGTAGTAGTCGCGTAGGATCTGTGTGGCCTCGAAGCCATGTGAGCGATAGAAACGTAGGGCCGCGCTGTTGCTGGTCTGCACGTGGAGATATACCTGTACCACGCCGTCTTGAGCGGACTGCGCGACGACTTTTTCTAGGAGCTGACTGCCGATTCTAGCACGACGATAGCTTTCCAGCACCCCGAGCGTCATGATATACGTGCGTTCTAGACCTTCAGGTCCTTCCTTCACGGGCTCCCGTCGACAGCAGATAGCGCCCACAGCATAAGATCCGACACACGCTGACCATAGATACATCGTGTCAAAGCTCGTTAGCTTACCAAGCTTTGTGCGCTTACCTAGTTGTGCATATCCCGGTGGAGAGCTCACCACCTCCTTGTAGAACGCCAGGTTGTATCTCACAGGGAAGAGCTGCAGGTTGAGCTCTCGTAGTCGCTGCACATTGCTCTTGTCGACAGGCTCGAACACGACGTTCGTCGTCATCGCAAGTCTTGCGCTGTCAACCTCAACTTTATACTCGCCCTCAGTCGACTCGCTACGCGTAGAGCTGGTCGTATGTGGCATTTTTGGCCGACAGTTCTTCGCCACGCACGACAACGAGAATGGTTTCGTTTCTTGTAACGGTGCAACTTGAAGTGAGTCGTGCGTAACCAGACCGGTCAATCACGCGCGATCTTAAGCGACGTATCAATTTGACAAGGTTCCTGCAGCATGAAGCTCAACGTGTCCCTCGCTCTAGCCATCTCCGCTGTCTCCACAAAGCATCAAGAGGCTTCATCTCCTCTCCAATCACGTATGACAAGCTCAGACGAGTTGGTGAAGCTCCAGCACGTCGTGAGTCCCGTACTGGCGTCGACCAACCTCCTGGACAGCGACAACTTCTTCGTGTGCGGCTCCAAGGTGCCTGGTATGAACGGCCACTACGTGTTGCAGCCACCGGACGTGGTGCAGTCGGACCCAGACACGCCCGTATTCTTCAGAGAAGATGGCGAAGACGAAGCTCTAGCTACAGATTTCCGGCTGTTCCGTCACAACGGCTTCTGGATGATCGCCGACGTCGAACCGTGGCCGCCAGTTACGCACTTCCGCTGCGATCCCACCAAGACGCAGGTCATCGGCGTGGACGTCGCTGAAGTGTGCGGCTTGGGGCAGATTACGCCACCTCGGATCGGCTATTCGCCTGCCGATCCCAAGCTGGGCGACTTCTCTCTCACTCTACATCGCCATACCTGTCAAGAAGAACTACAGATTGACACACGTAGGAACTTCTCTCGAAAGGAAGAGCTTTAACTTAATCTAAAGCTGCTTAGTTTGTTGTTTACGGCCTCAATTCCACGTCACGGCGAGGTTTTGCTTCCTGACGGCGAAGACGCAGGCTAACGGCAGGTGATCTGACGGACAGTGAGCGTTGGGTAGCCATCCTGAAGCGCGACCGAAGAGATTAGGGAGCGTAGGAGCACACCACGTCCCCATGTAGCGTGTGCTCATGCTGGTGTCGTCCGTCCAGTCGTCGGGTTTGTGTTTGACCCACTCGACGTCCTCGACACTCACCGGTTCACGGATATCTTGTCCTGTCGCTTCCAGCTCCTCGAGCGTCGGTAGCTCCAGCAGTTGGAACGGCGTCAATTGTCCCGTGGAGTGAAAGATGTAGTCGATTGTCCCTTGGAAGTTCTCGCTCGAGAACGTGAGCTCAGGCTCACTCAGATACTCAGCGTACGCGCCGTACGCATTCTCCATCATCTCACTATGAACAACTAGACTGTCCCGGTCGGCTCGAGACTGCAGCGTCGTGTACCGCTTCGCCTCTGCGCGTTGATCGCTGCCACCCACAGTCTTGTCAACTGAAGACAACAGAGGTCGTGGACACGCTATCGCATTAACGATCGGCTTGGCGTCACTCGCGTATCGTGGCGTACGACCCGAACCATAGGAAATATCGTACGGCTTCACGTCTGGAGGTACGTCTGGAGCAAGGAATAAAGGTTTCTCGTCCGTGTCAGCATTGTTAGGAGCGGTCTTCTTGTAAGCAGCATGCTCGAATGTACTCCCCGGAGCTGAGGGTTGACTCCAATACCCCCATCCGTACTCGTTACGAGCCATTACACGGAACTGGTACGTCATATTGGCACTAAGCGACGTCACTATAAACGACTTGGACGCACCGTCCGATACAGATAGCTCGTACAGGAAGCCTGACGATTTACTCATACAGTTCTTGACGGCAACTTTGTACTCCAGAATGGGAGTAGACGGAGTGAGTGACGTTGAAGAAGGCTGAGGAGGTTCCCATGATACTCGTAAGGACAAAGACGTCGGGTCGTCGATCACTGGGCGTCCTGGAGTTGCTGGCACCTCACACACAGGACGCCTGCGACCTGTTAGAATAGTATGGTAGACATCACTACTAGGAGTCGCGTTAAATGTCCCAGTCAGCACGATAGGCAGCTGAAAATCGGCGTTAAACACGGCTACCTGTCGACACAGATACTCCGTTTGAAGCACACGCACACGCTCCAACTCGGACGAGGCACCCGATGCAAGTTGCGTATTGACTACACAAAGCGCAGAGGGCAACGACGAGGTCTCCCATGGCTGCAGACTCACCATTAGTGCGAGCTTATCTTGCTTTGCTCTAGCTGCAAGATTCGCGTCGTTGACGTTGGCACACAAGTCGTTGAGATGCACCTCCGCTGACCGGAAGAGCTGAAAAGTGGACTTCCTAAATGCTGTCACAAGACCGTCATCTATCTCCTTGGCTGCGATTGTCGAGCTGGACGCTGCAGACGTAGCGTAGATACTGTCATAACCGGCAATAGCGAGCTCTGCAGCCCACCAGTCGTCATACTCGTCGACTTCCTGTAAACACATGACGTCGGCATCGTACGAAAGGATTTCTCTGCATTATGGACGGTGACTTAGTATTAAATATGACTACGTAAGCTACTAGCATCAAGTTTGTCTAACCGTAGCAATCTTTCTCGTCGTTGTCGGATGTTGAGGATGGCCGTACCGACATAGTTCTTGCCTCTACGTTGCATACGTCGTGCACCCATTTGCGACAGCACGTTGTACGTGAGCACTGACACCTTCTCGAGGTCTACTAGCTCGGCTAAGTCTGCAACATCCTTCTTTGCAGGCACGAACGCTCGGAACGGCTCGTCCGCGTTAGACGTTGAAGCCATCCCGACTCGAAAACGGCACATGGCTACAGATCGTTAATTTCGTAAATACCTAGAAGTCATAGAAATTAAGCACGATCTTTAAATTGACTACCCAAAAGTCAAAGCCCACTTCCAGTCGTCCAGCCAACAGACAAGCATTGCCAGCCATGACGGACGAGCTGGAGCTACTGACGCCGCCGCCGCAGGCCGCGCCATCCTCAGGGCGCGTGGGTCTCTCCGCCGCTACGCTCGTGTACTCGTCCGACGGTCGCTACGTGTTCCAGCGTCAGGCGCACGTGGTGCGCGTGCTGCACTCGCAAAGCGGTCGCGTCCTTCACGAATGTGTTCGCGCTGACAACAAGAGCGCGGTGCGCGCGCTGGCACTGCACCCACACAACGCGCTGCAGTTGCTAGCTGCATACGACGACGGCTACATTATCGTGTGGGATTTCGTGGAGCACAAGCCGCTCGCGGAGCTGGATGCCAAGGCGCCCGTACTGTGGATGGCGTCCAGCCGCACGAGCGCGTCGCAGCTTCTTCTGGTCGTCCAGACCGACGCAAACACCTGGAGCCTAATAGAGTTCAGCCTAAAGAAAAAGAAACGCGGTCGCGTGTTGTTTCAGAATAGCAAAAAGCTGTTCCAGGCTGCTGCGCTGCAGAGCTACACGACGCCACAAGGTGACGGCGAACAGGCTGTTCCGGGAGACTTTTTAGTAGTGGCGGCCGGCGACAAGCTGGTCACTTTATGGCTCCACCACCAATCGGGAGCTAAAGACTCGGGCAACCGCGTGTACTCAATGCAGAAGCTCAACCACCTTCGTGACGTCACGTGCGTCGCCGTCAGCCCGACGCAACGGGAGTTCTCTATCGGCGACCAGATTGGCCAGATCTACCGATACCAGCAGCAAGGAGAAACAGCGTCCAAGATGCACTGGCACTCGCACGCCGTGCACTGCATCCAGTACTCGAGCGACGGCCAGTTCCTGCTGTCGGGCGGTGAAGAGTGCGTGCTGGTGTCCTGGCAACTGGAAACAGGTCGTCGCGCTTATCTGCCGCGTCTCCCGGCGTCCGTGGAGGTCATTGCGCCTCGTCAAGACGGTGGCGTGTACGCCGTGGGCCTGGCGGACAGTGTACTCTTCCAATACAACCCGGTGACGCGCGAACAGGAGTGGGAGGCGCGTGGCTTTGTCGCGTGCCGGTAATTCGGGCAGCCATCTCGGCGGCGGACGCGTCAGTTAGTAGTAGACCCCAGTGTACAAGGCGCTTCGTGCTCAATGGATCGTCCGGCGCGAGCGTGCTGCAGTTCTACGAGCCGTTCGCGGAACCGTGTACTGCAGACGTTGCTGCTATCAGAGCGAAACCAGGTTACGCGCACAGAGGACGAGGTGTTGCCTACGCTTCGTGCGTCACACTCGTGCTTCAGCTCCCGTGGCGGCGACTTGGTGACGCTTCATGCGCCGACGACGGCGAAACACGGCGACGAACAGGCTCTGCGCTTCTGGACGCGTCGTGTGGACGGCTCGTTCTTTGTCAACACGGCAATTGACGCGCCTCACGGCCGCGCACAGGTAACGAGCATGACGTACTCGCCTTCCCAGACCGAGGACAGTCTGGTGACGGCGGATGAACAGGGAGATTTCAAGGTGTGGCAGAAGACGGCGACGGAGACAGGAGGCGCGTCGTGGCACTGTCAGGCGGTTGTGCGCTTCCGTGACGAGCCGGTCACTGCCGTGGGCTTTGCGCGCGATGGATCGTTGCTTGCTGTGGCGTACGGTAACAAACTCACGCTCTGGGACGTCGCTACGCACTCGTTGCGGCGTGTGATCCCGTCCGCGGACGGCCAGACAATTACTCAGATTGTTTTCCCCGGTATCAACTCGCCGTACGTCGTGGTTGTGACAGACAGTCAGGTACAGGTGTGGAGTTTGTTGTCGCTGTCGCTGTGGTGGCGCTACACGGTACCCAAGGGTGCCGTCGTGGCCGAGGAATCTCTGTACGAACGCTTCTTGGTCTGGTTGCCAGTGGACGACTCGAAGAAGAAAACGCTGGTGCTGGTTTTCGACGCCCAGACGCCTGTACCGACCTGCGTGCGTGTTGTAGACGTTGGCTGTAAGGTGTGGAGCGCTGGTTTCCACCCCGGCACTGGAGACATTGTGCTTCTTGACAACAAGACCGGAGTATGGAGACTGGACGGACCTAAGGCCAGATCGCAGGACGCCCGGCGCCGGAAACAGGCCCACGTTGCTGCCGTCGCTGCGCGCGACGCCGCCAAGGACGGCGAACAGGAGGCCAAGGCTCTCAGCGCCATCTACAACGCCGCCAGTGGCGGTCGTCTTGCAGAGAAAAAGTCCAGCCACATGCATGCGGGGCCTCATGGCGTGGCGGCCAACGGCTCTGCGTCTAGCAGCCTGTTCGACGCGCCGGCTCACGTCCTGCCGTCCATGACGGCACTGTACCGGTCGTTCATGGACACCATGCTGCCGAAGCCCCACCAGGTTGCTGAAGCCGACGAGACTGTTAAGAACGCGAACGAACCGTCGACGTCGCAGAAGAAGAAGAACAAGCGACGTAAGAAGCAGCAACAGCAACAAGCCACGACGGATCCGACCGTGAATGAAAGTGGAGAGCAACGCAAGCGCATGAAGCTCCAGGTAGAGAAAGAACTGGCTAACACGGAGTTGCAGCAGCAGACATACTCCAAACTGCTCGAGACATTTCGCAACAGTAAGGCGCGTCGGGCGTAGGCTCGTGCAGGACTTCAGATGAAATAGATTTACATGTTCAAGCTACCTGGTGCTGCATTTTGATATTTTTCTTGCTCTTGCGGCTCTCACTCTTCAATATTTTTAAATGTTATTAAAAGTACTGCGTGCCGAAAATAAAGTATTATACCGGTAATGCTCATGTAAATATACCGGTATTTACAAGGTAAAAAAATATTCAGGACTGGGGACACAACAATTATTAACTAGTAGTATAACTTATACTTCGAGGTATTACAGTAGTACTACGTATGGATATAATAAGTAGCGTTTGAAAGCTTAGTGCTAGCTTCGTAGTTGAAGGCGCAGTGGTTCTAATGGCGACTGTATCGCCTGGTACTGCGGACTCGGAATGTTTGGTACCTTATTTCCTTTCGGTGATAGCTCCACGGATACTTCAATCGGAGCCTCATTGTCAGCTAGGAAGCTTTCGTGCAGTGGGTAAGTTTTGGGGTTATACACAAAACACAACGCCAGCGTGGACGAGTTGAGTGTGATGAAGAGGATGTTGGGAGCGATAATGATCCAATTGGCCGTCAGAGAGCCGTACGTGAGCCACATGACGTTGCTGGTCAGACTGGCCATCACCATGTGCGCATTGATGAAGACAGCCGACTTGTGCTTGAGCACTTGGAGCAGCTTCTCCATCGGTGCTGCGTACAGACAGATGGCCGTCGCATCGCCGATATATCCCATAGTTTTAGCCACTTGAGCTCGCGTTTGACCAGTGTAGCCAATGCCGCCGAGGACAGCGTAGATCGATAGGATGACGATCACTGATACCGCTGCTATAACAACTCGAGCGACGTATCTACGCTCGGTCGTGTATCGCCAGTAGACTGCGATGTAGACAACTGAAGCAAGGTCGCCGACGGCGAAACAACTGAAGACGGGGAAGACGTTTTCGTCCAGATAACCGTACGTCATCCAGACGTGGGAGTTGATAGCGAGCATGACGAGAGGAAGAACAGAGGCGACGCCCACGTGCTTCTGCTTGTGAATCTGGCGCATCAGGATGGAAGGACTGCAGATTAAGGCCAAGGCACCGACGGCGGCGAAGATCCGGACGACGAGAAGAACTGTGCTGTCGACCATCGTGGCAGTGTCGAAGCGTAAACCAATAGACTGGTAGGAGACGCGCTGAGTGCTTGAAGGTAAATTGAAGAGTGAGACCATCTAGAAGAAGAAGAGCGAGAACAACTTCAGTTTTTTTCATCGTGTTTTGCACTTGGTGGTCTGTCTCATGCAACTTCATCATAACAAAAAGTTTAGATGCACATCGAGCTGACTGGCGCAAAATGAATGTCCGATCCAGTGACAGCAGTGGCGTCACCGTTTTGACAACAATTCGTTCGTGGAGTTTCTCGAATTCCTTTTCCATCTGCCACTGGCACTCTCTTTTCCTATTCTGTCTTGTGTCCAGCAGCATGTCAACAGAGTTATCTGTTCCAGAAATCGCCCATCTCTTTCAGTTAATTGGTCACATGACGAATCTCAAATACGAACTCGATGTACAGTACAGTGTATCCTGGGACACCCTCGTACCGGTATTATGAGTCATACTTTTTTATGAGCCACCATAATCCATTTTTCATAGGACTATTTTTTTTTGAGTAATTCACTGCTACGAATACCGGTACAATCTATTGAAGAATAAATACAACGACGTTAATATTTTTTTCTTATATAGCCGTTAAGTATTAATCCAGCTCGTAGAGAAGTTGGTTCTGGAATCGTGCCGCGGTCAGAGGAGCTGCTGGAGCGGATGCGTCAAGCTGCACGGCTTCCCTGCTCGAGTCGGACGCATTTTTCTTCTGAAGAATCACCACCATGTTCTCACTGGCCACGTCAACTTCAGCAGCCGACGGGTCGATGTCAACTGGCAGCACAGCGACGTGCATTTCGTACAATTTCTTCTCACTATCGGAGAACTGCAGACGCAGCGAAGACGTCGATGGGAACGTGAGCTTGACACTCTTTGAGTCGATTCCAGAAACCTCCACAATGTACGATAGACACGCTGACGTCTCATGCGTCTCGAAAGGCGGCTGAAGCACGGGGCCTAAGGTCTCAGACACCGATACCGAGTCTGTTAGCATCTCTCCTTCTTCATCTTCTTCTGCATCGCCGCAGCTCTCAAGTGGCGGCAGGTCATCGTACATTTCGTCATTGATAGCTGCTGGCTCGGTCACTACAGGCGGCGTGTGAGTCGAGTTTTTACTGCGTTCTTCGCGTCGCTTGAGTGCCAGTATCAGTGGGTCATTCGCCACCATCAGAGCCGTCTCTCGTAGCATACGGAACTCGTCATCGCTCTCTTTCTTCGGCTTCGGCTCACTAACGTCCGTCATCTCTAGAGTCACCTCTTGACTCTCGATTGCTTCCTCCTCTTCGTCATCCTCTTGGACAATCAAAGATACCGACTGCGGCTTCGGTTTAGGTGGGGGCTGTACCGGTAAAGTGACTACGAGTTTGTGGTTCTTGCGGTCAAACTTGGCGCTGCCCTTGTCCTCAATCACTGGGAACGGGAGAGTTAACTCCAACGGCTCATAGGCACCAGAGTCAGCTGCAAGACGCAGCATCTTGTCGCTGACATCCAAGTCCAGACCTTTGGCACTTGAAGAAAGAGGAAAGTTGATCTCAACCACAAGCTCTTTGGGACGATAACGATCGTCCGGCACCTTCTTGTCCGGATCTGCTTGCATGTGGTGAAGAAGCTCGAACTTCCCGCGATAAATCAGTTGATACTGCATCTTCTTCATGTCAGACGACTGCTTCTCTTCGATCTTAACACTTGACACTTCTTTTATCAATGGAGAACTCTCGTCGCTCTCTTCTACGTGCGTTAATTGGGTCAAAACCGACTTGTCGGCTTTGTGGTCCACACGCTTTATCGTGTCCATTGTCTGCTTGTTCTTGTCTCCCGCTGTCTTTTTCTGTTTACCGTCTTGACTTTGGGTTTTCTTCTTTGTTTTAACAGACTCGGAAGCTTCTCGTTCTTTCTTTAAACACAAAGTGACTGGGTCTCCTGACTTGTACAACACTCCTTTAAGAACATGGTAGTTCCTCGCTAGTAGAGCGTCCTTCTTGCGTCTAGACTCTCTCATTATCGGCTCTACTGCATCCAGACACGTACTGACGACCATATGTCTATAATCAGCTCGAGACATGGAGAACTCAATAACTCGTGGGTGGAAGCACACGTCGAAGGTGGCTACACTGGCTCCTCCTTTATCAGGCTCGAGTCTCTCGGGCCCTAAGGAGTAGGGCAAGTTCCAGGACGCCCCTTGTTGTCCTGAAGACACGCGGGTGTTGGAAGGAGGCTGCATCTTGTCACTACTGCATACATTTATAAAGATCTTGTGCGTGTTCTCCCACTTGGTTTTCACTACAAAGCCAGGCGTGGGTTTAACGAGCTGTTTGTCGGTCGGAACCTTCTGCTCAGTCTCCAATTGAGCCAGATACCGCTCACTTTCTTCGCGGTTGTGAGGATCGGAGATCTCCTGCATGTACTCATTTAAGAGAGAGCGGAACTCGGGGTCTTTCATGGCCGACAAGAACTTGGTCTGCTCTTCGGGCGTCACCTTGGGCTCCACACTGCGCTTCTGCTGATGCATGGCTGCCTCGAAGAGAGCACCCATCTCAGCTTCACTTGGAACGTCCTGGTTGCTGCTGGTTGCACTTGTAGCGCGAGAATTCGCCTCCTGAACACTTGCCACCATTGCTACAGACGGCTACTACTTGAATGGATCGCGACTCTTTGAATTTTGTAGAAGTGGTGTGACGTACATCGTATAAGTGTGGTACACCTGACTAATTCTAAAATAGAAGCCGTTTTTCTAAGAAACATGTAGCCATGCGCGAAGGGATACCTTGAAGCTAATGGCATTCTGGGAAGAGCACGACATGCCAGCGAAGCAGGAGGAACTCGGTACGCTTCGCAATGGTAGCTTCTCGTATCTAATTGGTAATTTGAAAACAATTGTGCTGCTCTGGTAGAAGAGCGGTTCGTGCAGGCAATGAGATTCGACGAGGACGACGAGCAGAGAGATGAAGGGTATGGAAACGAAGAAAGCTACGCTAGAAGTGAAGGTCTCTATGAAGACGACGATGAAATGCTGCAGCATCAAAGTCGTCGACCATTCAGTCGCTCATCGTCTTCAAGCTCCCGCTCGACTGCGTCATTTGACGATGGTCCTATGCTGTACTCAGACTCTGCTGCTATCCAGTCCAAAAAGTACATGGAGCGAGACCAGGTGAAGCTAGCACTAGAGCAGGAGGAACGTACGCGTCGCCTTAACAAGATCCGTGCACGTCGCCAACACTTGGAGAAGTGGACGCAGAGGATGGCGCGATCTCCGTTCCACGTGAACCTCGTAGCCGACAACGAGCGCCTGGACGAGGAGCATCGACTTCGGATGATGGAGTGTGCACGTCGTGAGCGGGAGCTCGAGCGACGATCTAAAGAAGCCAAGAGCGAGGTGATCTTGAAGGCGCTCACAGAAACGTCAGATCTGGAGCTACTGCGTCGTGAGAAGCGCGCAATTATCGACGAGGAGAAGCGACTGAAGGCGCTGTTAGACCTCGAAAAGACCAATTCCCACCGTAAAACGGACCTCCTTGCAGCTCGCAACGCCGAGAAACGTCGTCGATTGGAGAAAGAAGAGTACCGTCGTCGGCAACGACAACAAGAAGTTCAGGAACGAGAACAAAGATACAGACAATTACTCAAAGAGAAGCTGGCGTTGGAGGACTAGTCTGAAAACTTGCACTGCGTTGATACATTTTAAACTCAGTACAAATAAAAAGTGACGATAAAATACGCGAAGAAATTTAGCTTCCGTGTATTATATCGTCGCTGTTTCCTTATTCCTGGACAGAGCTACGCTTGACCACGTAGACCTGCTCGGCATCCAGCGTCACCACGTAATCGTACGTGGGGAAGGTGACTACACACAGTTTTTCCCACAATAAATACCGAAACGACGTTAGTATACCCACTAACTCGGTCCAAACCGAGCAGCTCTGTTAGCGTACTGGTCATGCGCTGCAGTTCCTCCTTCTGGCTGGTGTCTAGCACGCTACTGGAGTCCTGGAGCATCGAGTAAATTGTCTCCGCTGCGATCTCCCCGGAAGTTCCTCGTAATTCGCCCGTAGCTGACAGCACTTGGCCGTTGATATCCAGCACCAGCGTACCGGTCTGTCCGTTTACTGCTCTCAATGCTCCGGCATCCTGCAGTGTACGAAACGATTCAGAGATTGAGATCCTCGTTAAGTACACAACTGGCTTTGCCAAATCTATTGGGGGTAGATTTATGGTAAACAGGGGTCTAGAAGCAGAGCTAGATAGGTGTGAACGAGCGTGCGTACTGACCATTTTGAGTCGAGATTTCCGAGTAGAAAGGCTAGAAAAAGTTAGAAATGTGGACCACATGACACGGATGTATTCAACGAGATTTAGCTACACACTTATTAATATCGGTGACAGCAACGAGCGACTGGCGAGGCCAGCATGAAGAAGATGAAGGGATGCTTGGTGGCACCACAGGATGAGGAGCTGCAGCAGCTCTTGCAGTCGACAGACAACCAAAATACGCAATCGATGGGAAAGAAGCGTGGCGATCGTCTGGCATCGTTTCGTGTGGTGCGAGATAATTTGATGCATCAAATGGAAAGGATCGTACTACAAGAAGCAGAACTAGGCTCAGCCCTGGAACTATTAGACTACACAAGACAGAAGTGCGATCAACAACACGACGCCATTGTGCAGCGTCTAGAAAGCTGTGAAGAAATGTTAAGGAATTTAGAGAATGGAGCAACAGAATCATCCTCCGTCGCGAGTCTGCTGAACGAAGAAGAGTACGGACGATGGAAGCAAACGAAGGAGATGGTCACAACTATCTTACCTGAAGTACTCATCCGATTGGAAGATAACATCGAGCTGAATAACGCCAAGACTCGAGACGTTCGGGACAAGATGGAGGAGCTTCGAGCAAAGCGTCTCGCTCTTCGAGAAGAGATCGCGGTCAAAGAAGAAGACATTGCGTTGATGCTCAATGATAAATCATCTAAGTGAAATGTAAAAACAATGTTCTCATTGCTCCCTTAAGGTCAGTTGAAGAGATGGTGCTTGTCACGCTTACGCTTGCGCAGTTTCTTCTTGGCCACGTCCATGTTGCGTTCCTGCCACTTGCTTTTACTAAGTTTCACAGGTCGGTTTCCGATATATTTCCCGTTCATTTCACGCAGGGCTTTGGCGCAGTCGAACGGGTCGGCAAAACTAACGAATCCGTATCCACGGGACTTGTGTGTCAGTTTGTCCCGTACCACACGAGCGCGCTGGAACGACGCGTATTGGGAGAAACTGTGGGCCAGCAGCTCGTCACTCACTTCGTTGCCCAAATCTCCGCAGAATAGACGGAAGTCGTTGTCCGGCCATTCTTCCAGTGTCGGATCCTCCCAAACTTGACCGCCTGCAAGTCGCAGGTTTCGCTTGGGTTTCTTTCCCCGTGCAGCGCCATCTTTTGCGGCGATACTGGCTGCTGTTCTCTTGGGGTCGTACGCGTAGACGCTCTGCTGTCTGTTCATCATCTGCTGCTCCGCTATTGGCAGCATACATCCCGTCTCCATGTCCAGTCGAGGCTCCATCGATCTGAAACTGGCAGACGTCAAACTCTTCGACACGGTGGCTGCGTGTTCCCCCGTTGTGCCGACTGGGAATCCGCTGAGTGCTCCTCGATGTGCTGCCACATCTTCCAGTGTGTTGAGCAATCGAGATCTTCCGTCGTCAAGTTCTGCGTTGTCTTCAGTTCTCTTCACTGGAGCTGGGCGTGGCGGGGCCATGTAGATTTTGGGCTTAGCCATGACAACCTCGGGCTTTGGCGGCGCGGTAAGGCCAATCTTGGCTTTCTTTAACGCAATCTGGGCACCTCCAGATATGGCTTCTATTTTTTCGTCATCGTTGGTGGGTTTAATCTGCTCTAGCGACTGGATCTCCGCTGTAAAGCGTGCAAACTCGTCGTCCAAGTCCGCCATACTCGTGCGAGCAGCGTTCTTCTTTGTCAGTGGCTAAAATGAAGTTGGTAGGTCTCATTTCCATTGGGCGTAAATAATTTTCGACTCAATTACAAATGTAGCCACTTTCGCACTTTGAATGGATGCGGTGCAGCTATTAGACAATTTGAGGCAAAATGGACGACATGGAGTACGACGACGCGGGCCACCGCGATATGGACGACGAGGAAGTCCCGGAGGAAGAGATGGAGGAGGAGGTCCCGGCTGAGGATTTGTACGAGGGCGGAGAGGACGCTGGCGACCAGGAGAACAAGGTGCAGGTGCTGGACGAATCCCACAAGCAGCCCAACGCCCACCGTATCACCACTCGCTACATGACAAAGTACGAGCGCGCCCGTGTGTTAGGAACGCGCGCATTGCAGATCTCCATGAACGCTCCGGTCATGGTTGACATCGAGGGCGAGACAGACCCGCTCAAGATCGCCATGAAGGAGCTACGTGAACGCAAAATCCCCATCATCATCCGCCGGTACCTGCCCGACAACTCGTTCGAGGACTGGAGCATTGATGAGCTCATTATTGAGTAGATGCAGGTAGACAAAGGAGAAGAGAACTCTATACACGTACGTACATACACAACATCTTTCATATCCAACGCTTTGTTGAGGAAAATAACGTTGGAAAGCGTGTTTTTGACGAGGAGAATTAGCTGGAGAATTATGTAGCCATTGTCTAGCGTTCCTCCTGTTCCTCGTCTTAATTGACGGTGGTCTGTGAGTCGCACGCCGTGCCGTAGTAACCTGGGAAGCACTCGCACTCGCCCGACTCGTAGTTGCACTTGCCTCGCCCTCCACAGTCGCGCCCTTGCTTTTGGCCAAAGGCGAGCAACACGTCGTCGCCACTGGGACATTCCTTGAGGGAGCAGTCGGGTCCGCGGTATCCCTGATCACAGTAGCAGCCCATGTGTTTGTTGGCGTCCCATGCAGCGTAGACAGTAGCTGCCGGCGGAGTGGGTCTACCAGCAATGATAGCTGCCAGAGTGAGGCAAATGCCGCGGCCGTTGCAGCCATTCGGACACTCCGTTCGCTCGCAGGCCTTGCCTTCATAACCTGCGAAGCACATGCAGTGACCCGTGTTGTAGTCACAAAGCCCACGATTCGAGCACTCGACTAGCGAATGTGCAGTGTTCGTTGCGGTAGGAACCTGGACCCACGCGTCGCCAAACGGACACGTGCGTAGCGAGCAATCGGCGCCTTTGAACGCCGGGTATTTGATGCTCTCGGTCTCCTGATCCTGTCGCTCGTAGCACGTGCATTTGTCGTTCTTGCCGCAAGTTCCCTGTGCGTTGCAGCCATTCGGGCAGTACGCGCTTACATCCTGCGGCAAGGTCAGTAATACCAGCGCTGCAAGACAGAAGATCGCCACCTTGAACACGCCCAACATGCCTCAAGGTCGACGTCCTGTTACGAGTCTGTAAGTCGTCGCTGATTGCTGTGGTCTTGCTGCAGTGTAGCAAAGTGAGAGCGAATATTGCTCCTAACGGAACATGCAAGATCCCATGAGGAGCTTTGAGCAACCGTCGCCGTGAATCGCCGCTCATTCCGACCCTTCGACGTTGGTATCTTTATCAACGCCGAAATCTGCGACGTGATGCAATGAAGGACTCGATGTACCCATCTTTTAGAAATTTTATCCACCAATCAAACACTAAATGAAAAATGAAAAACAGCGAATCATCACTTGATCAGCCAAGATGGCTGTCACCCAAGAGCGAGAAGTGACGATGGCGAGCATTGCGGACGTGGTGGAGATCTTCGAGTGCGAAGGCAGCTTTTCTTTCCTGTGCGAAACACACCGCTTCGCATTCAAAATCCACAGTGACAGCTCCCTTCGCGTCGACATCAAACCAGTTTCAACCGCCACTCAACCAAACGTAGAACAACGGATTGACCAGGACACTCCCATACCAGGAGGAACCACTGAAGACATCGACGATGTAGACGGAGAGGAATATCAAAATACAGAGGAAACAATAACACTACAGGCTCAAGAAGAGGATGAAGAGACTGTCACCAATCTGCAAGTGTATGATGGACGAGCATTGGCGGAGATGCCGTCTGACGGGCAACACGGTGCACATTCTACGTCCTATATGGTCCACTTTAAGATCGTTCAATGGGGTCGAGGTGCACAGGGCATGTGGTCTCAGATCGTCAAGTGTATCGCTCGTCTTACGCGCCAGCAAGGCCTGTCAGGACGCTTTGTGGATATCCGAGAGGACGCGGAAGAAGCGCAGGATTTTGCATTGAGACCTATTGCACACAAACTAGAAGCGCTGGATAACCCACTGCACCCTCTAACTCCTGGACGATACGAACTACAAGGTATCACCATCGCAGAGAACACGTTCGTGTACGAATGTGCTGTGACTTTCACTCTACAGACCAATGGGATGATGTCTGGGACGTCTCGAGAGTTGCCGTTCACGCAAGAGTGCCCACTTGCTGGGATGTGGACTCGAAGTGGACTCAACTTCTTGCTGGAGTACGAGATGCACGGCAATAAGCACACGTATATCTACTTTGGCTCTCCATTTCGATCAGGTTTGCAAGGTACGTGGCAGAACTCCGAGCTGCGAGTGTTGGGAGGCAATCTCGACGCACGAACAAGTCAAGCTGAACGCGGTATCTTAGAGTTCCAGCTGGTTAAAGCTGCTCGAGTCTGGAGCGAAACATATCACAAAGACTACCCGGCAGCGTTCAGGGAGTGTGTGAAGCTGCTGTTGCTTGCATCTCATCGAGATGGGATCCTACCCAACCACTTATGGAGCTCTATTGTGTCGTATTGTGGATACAACTGGTTCCGTAGTGAGCTGCAAAAGTCACTGGCAGCTACTGAGACCAAAGGCTGCGATAACGAAGTCGCGAAGGTGCCATGAAAACAGTTATGTAGCCATATTCTTACAGCAAATGTAGCCATAGTGTTTATACCCAATCCTCTTCTTCGACTAGGAATATCAGCTAATCAAAAGTCTCCGTTACGAACTTAACGTCTTGCCCACTCGACTGAAGCAACAATAATGGAGGGGACGTGGTGCAGTGGCTCAACTGCCCAGAGCTCCTTCCCCACTAACATTGAGAGTTTCTCATCTCGACACCAAGTCAACCAGACGTCGATGGTTCCATTAAAACCTCTGGAACGCGTCTATGAAGGCCGTGTGGGTGGATTTCTATCCGAAAAGAGTCGCATCCACTTGTGCATCGCGTCCGACGGGACTTTACACGGCGAAGTTCGCCAAAAGCAGCCAAGCCCGCGAGCTCTAGTCAACGGGAAGAAACGCAAACGTCGAGTAGTTGCCGACCACCCGGACGGCATTGTCATTGCTCACGTTATGGGCAATGCACAGGCCGTTCCACTCGAAGAGGCAGTAGTGTCGTCTTGTTCCAGGACTGTCAGTTGCGATGGCACCTCAGCAGCGGAGTATTGTTGCGCCTTTGAGGTCACTAAGAGACGCAATCATGTGGACCGACACACACTCACGTGTCATTTGCATGTTCCAGTGGCACCCGACGCCCCAGCAGTAGGTACATGGAGGTTTTTCAGTGCTGGTAACCAACTGGAATTGTCCTCGTCAGCTTCTACTGCGTCGACAAGCGATACGGGATCGAGTCACGTCAAAGAGGAATCGTCGGAGGAGCAGAAAGTGTTCCAACTGCAGCCTGTGGAATGGTATCAACGTCAACAAGAAGCGGAGAAGGCCGAGAAAGAGGCAGCCATGATGCAGTCCAGAGAACCATCCCTGTTGTACCCTTTGAGACCTGGGAAGTACGAATTCAAAGGCTTCACGACGTATGACACGCCGTCTGTAGCTGCTGCAGTCGTGCCGAGACAGAGAAGTGGACGAAGAGGACGTCCAGTCATGACTACAGTAAAGGATGAGTGTCTAGTCTCGTTACGCTTGTTACCGGATGGTACACTACGTGGAACGTCTCGAGAAGTGGTACAGCCTCAGGTGTGTCCATTGAAAGGGCGCTGGCAAGCCAACCGAGTCGCCTACGTGCTCGAGTACCATGTTCGTGAAGCTGTGGGCCATTTCCGCTATTCGGGTGCGGTAGTGATTGAGGACACGGCAAATGCTTCTAACGGCAAGAAAACAAAGATAAAGGGGAAAGCCAACGTGAAGAGACGAGAGACGCTCAGTGGCAAATGGCACAATGTGGACGAGGGGCATGCTGAAGGCTACGAAGGAGGTCGCGGAGAGTTCGAACTAGAGCTCGTTAGAGTGGACTTTACTCCAATCTCTATCAAGACGGAGAAAGTAGAGCGCTCTAACGGTATTACTGTAAACGATTACTCGAAGCAGATCGCCAAGCCAGACTGTGGTAGGAGTGCGACCAGTGCGATCGAGATAGATGACGACGACGACGCCATCCACGCGTTTACTACCGGCGAGTACGAGCTGTCCGGCTGTGCTACGGACGCTGAGGGTTACGAATACGCATTCGATCTGCAGCTACAGTTGCGTCCTAAGGGAAAGCTCCTTGGCAAGTGTAAGGAGCGTATCTTCCACCAGACTAGTCCCGTATTTGGACGCTGGAATCCGTCGTGTATCACGTATGGACAGCAGTATGTGGTGAAGCATGAGGTGGGCATGTACACGTACAGTGCTACGATGGGGAGTGACGGCGCCGTGGTGAGAGGCTCGTGGGCGAACGTCGAGAAGGAGGCTGCTGCAGCTCCAAGCGAACACGGCACGTTTGCGCTAGTGCTGGTGAACTCTACGAGACAGTGGAGCACCTTCAGTCACGCCCATTACCCGGCCAGATTTCGACGTGCAGTGATGACGACGCTCATGGCGTCGGCTAGAACTCACAAGCTACCGGTGGCACTATGGACGCACGTCTTGGCCTTCTGCAGCGAAACGTGGTTCACATAGCCACTTCTGTGAGGGCAGAGAAGAGAGATGTACATAGTGTGGAGTACACATGCCTATAACATGGATAACAAGTACGTCGACTTGACCGTAATTGGGGTATGAAAGTTGAGCACCCAAATGAACCTATACATCCTCGCTTAACAATTACGTTATGTCTTGCGACGCAAAACTCGAGAGCAGCCATGTTGCTACTTCAATTCCCTGTCCGGTGTCTTGTGTCCTCCACTGTAGCGCTTGTCCATCCCTGAGTCACTACTGTATCTTTTGGGGTCTGAGAATTCCTCCGACGACGCTGTAGCGGCCTTTTGTATACGAAATGTTTAGCCCATGAAGTTGAACACCACGAGGAAGAGAATGATGTTGCAGAAGAGGTAGTCGGCGAACGCGCGCTGCTCCGTGCGGTCGCCAAAGTTGTTTTCTGGGTTGATCTGCATTCGCAGTGACACTGGCAACGTGGAAGGGGGAAATACAGTAAGTGATCAGAGCGTTCTGTATCAATTGTAGCGGGGAATATTGGACGCACCGGCCAGAACGAAGACGCCGACAGTGCAGACGAAGCCGGCGAGGAACGAGTTGAACGGGAAGTTCCCGACCAGAAGGCAATAGATAAATTGGAGCACGCCTGTGGCCAGCACGTAGGCTAGAAAGCCGTCGATGAGTTTGATCTTCTTAGGTGTAGTCTTGTCGTACTTGGAACACAAGTCGCCCAGGATGGAGCCCACGCCTGTGTCCGCCGTCTTCTTCGCCATGCCTGCGTTTGTCTGTGTCTACGCTCGATGGAGGACCACGCTGCTCACAGCGAGAGTGGTTAGAGGGGCAATAGCGACACAGGCAGGAGAACTGGAGCTGCGTACCTGGTGGACTTTCAGATGACGCGTGGCTAAGGACGGTAAGTACGATATCTAGTTTTTGTGGCTTACACAAATCCAGATGCATACTCAGATCCGGAAGCAAAAACGTTTTGTTTGAAAAAAGAGCTTTTTGTGTGGAATCAGCTGGATCTGAGTAGTCAGACGATTTAAGAACAAATATGATTCTGAGAAATGAATGCACAGTTGACAAGCGAAGAGCCGAAGAAACATTTGAACAGCAGCGACACACTTGTAGAGCTCTTCAAGCTTTTCTACCGTCAGGTCAGCACGGCAGGCACCTCGTCATTGCAAGATCCACCCTAAACAAGTCTCTTCGTATCGACATGCTCGCCCGACAGGTAAATATCTACTTATCCAGAGCTGTTCGACGCATGGCCGATACTGCATTGTATCCACCTTGATCCCCGCTAAGCTTCACGGCTGCAGGCCATTGGATCCGATCTCTGTAGCGGTATTGCCGGCCAGTTTACTAAACTCTCTTGCTTTATTGATGATGGCAGATCATCCGCCGCGTCGCCACGCAGACCCCGCGTAGTGCGGCCATGTCCACGCTGGTGGTGGCCGAGCACAACCAGTCGCAGATCTCAGGGCCCACGCTGGCCACAGTATCGGCCGCATCGCAGATCGGCGGTGACATCACGGTGCTGGTGCTGGGCAGCCAGGCCGGCCCGGCCGCCGAGGCCGCGGCCAAGGTGGCTGGCGTCAAGAGCGTACTGCACGCTGCCGATGCCAAGTACGACCACTATGTGGCCGAGGAGGTGGCCGAGTTGTTGGTGGCCGCTCAGAAGGCTGGCAACTACTCCCACGTGCTGGCCCCCAGCTCCAACGCCAGCAAGAACTACCTGCCTCGCGCTGGTGCCAAGCTAGACGTGGCCCCCATCTCGGACATCGTGGCCGTGGCCGACAAGGACACGTTCTTTCGTCCCACGTACGCTGGCAACGCTATCGCTCAGATCAAGTCGAAGGACGCTGTAAAGCTCATCACGGTGCGACCCACTGGCTTCGAGAAGGCTGCGGCCGAGGGCGGCAGCGCCTCGGTGAGCCCGGCCCCGGAGGCCCCGACGGTTGGCAAGACCAGCTTCGTCTCGGAGGAGGTGAGCAAGTCGGAGCGTCCGGATTTGGCCTCGGCCCGCGTGGTTATCTCGGGTGGCCGTGGCCTCAAGAGCGGCGAGAACTTCGAGATGCTCTACAAGCTGGCCGACAAGCTTGGCGGTGCGGTGGGCGCCTCGCGTGCCGCTGTGGACGCCGGTTTCGTGCCCAACGAGCTGCAGGTCGGCCAGACCGGTAAGGTGGTGGCCCCGGAACTGTATGTGGCCGCCGGTATCTCTGGCGCTATTCAGCACTTGGCCGGTATGAAGGACAGCAAGACGATCGTTGCCATTAACAAGGACGAGGAGGCTCCGATCTTCCAGGTGGCCGATTACGGCCTCGTTGACGATCTCTTCACGGCCGTGCCGGAACTAACCGAGAAGATCTAAACGGGTAAAAAGCAGAATCGAGAATATGACAAAAATACCCATATTCATCGCAAAATAGTGAGTTGCTATTCGTCAAAACCTCATGTTGCATTTGCCAGCCCCGTTTTTTTTTAGTGTTTCTAAAGGCTCCTCGAATTTTACACTGGTTGCGCAGTGACAACAGGCACGGGAGTTGCTCCGCCGTGCTCAGCGTACGAGTCAGATCCGCGTCCACTGCGCCCGCCCTGCTGTCGCTGCCGCTGCCTTTCTTCATCACGTGTCCCGATCATTGATATTCCCAGGAATGCGAATGTTGCAAGGAACGACGCCGCCACTGCAAGATACACGCCTCCACACCGCACGAAGCGGTTGTACTTCCCATGACAATGCAGCGTGACGCCTGACAAGAGCAACAACAGCGTTGCAGTCGCGAGACACACGAACAAGACGAGGTCCATGACTCTCTCGCAGTAGTCGATTGGATGCACACAGAGACGAAGCCACTCGATAAACACCAGGAAGGCGAAGGCGTACAGGAATGCAATAAAGTTGATAATCCGCGCGAAGCTCATAGCGCTGCTGCTGACGACCACAGCGACAGTCTGGCCTCCTGCAGTGTTCTGGTACGACACGCCAGCCGTTCGGAGCGCGATATACGCCACCAGAGCGCTGCAAAACTGGACGAGACGAAGGAAAACTCGCATGCAAAAGCGACTACACGATCCCCGCGCCATTGTTGCTCGATGCGATGCCTTATTGGAAATGACATCTACACATTGAGAAGCTTGGGACCTGTGGCCGACGCTAGGAAAATGGTCGAAGGTTCCTGCGAAAACTCGTTGAAACTTAGCGTGAAATCCATCGCAATACCATCAAGGCCATTACTCGTATGATAAAGTTTTGTTTTCAGTCATGAAAGTATTGCAAATGGTAAAAAAAAGTCATAATCCTTAAAAAATTGTCAAACACTACCATCACTCTGCCATCACTCTGATTTCCTTCAACTTACACCCGGTTGGATGCGTCTTTTGGTGTCGAGCCTCCGGTAGGCGTCGACTCAGCGTGATACCCGTGGCCAGCTTCGTCAGAGTCGCTGTGGTCTCCAGTGCCACGTGATCCCATGAAGCTCTCGCAACAGTCAAGCAAAAACGTGACAAAGTACGAAAGCGAGGCCAAAAAAGTGAAAACCACCGCGGTCTTCAGCTGGTTGCAACGTAGCATGTAGCCATACACAGAGCAGTTGGCCACATAGTCAGACGCCACCAGCACAATCCCCGCCACTACCAGCAAGGCCGCTAAGAGAAGATCCAGGAGCTGTTCGATGAGACGCGGTGTTGGACGCGGGAAGAGCCGCATGAGCTCCATGAAAAGCAGGAAGAAGAGTCCCACCAACATGCCCGTGTACGTCATTAGCGTCGCGTACGTGGCCGCTCTGCTGCCGAGCATACTCGAGTAGCCATAGTACGAGGACCCCACAAACGCTCGCGACAGAGTTGCCAGCGCCACCAGACTCAACGCGAAGTTGAGGAAGCGAAGCAACGCTCGCGACCAGCGCAGCGTATTCCCACGCGCCATCTTTTAGCTTGGTTTGAATTTCGCCTTGAGCTTTTCACAGTGTTTTGGAGAATGGCAAAGAAAATCTTAAGAGATAATTTGCATTCGGGACGAGGACATCGGGACCTGGCGTGGATCACTCCGAGTGATCCACCCGTTGGAAACTTTCTCACTTTGAATTTCTATATAGTTCGGCAGTCACACGAGACCAACGGGTGGGAGTCGAGTCACGAGAGATGGAGGGGGTGAACATACGCAGTCGAATGGCTGGTCAGTATCACCGGGGAATGCGGCAAACTGAGGCCAGGGTCGTCGAGCCACACGCTACTCGCGCGAGACTTCCCTGAAAATCTGGACTCTTCGTAGATTGGAGAGAGCGCCACTGCTTTCGTAGATTTTGTCAAAAGGTAGGATGACGAGAAAGTCACGTTGTTGATAGTTGTGAGATTGTTGATTTCCGCTGTGCTCATCGGGGATGAAGGCGGACAGACTGTCTGTGCTTCACGACGTTTCTTAGCGTACAACTTGAGCGCGAGTATGAGCAGCACTAGTACCACTGCGCACGAGAGCCCCAAAACCAGCAATTCCATGGTGTATTCGACGCTGCAAATACGAGTGTGACTCTGATGAGGGCGGACCAAGCTGCTCAAAGGGTACGGTGGAGGAATTACCATAATCCAGTAGAAAACATTTTTGATTGCACTCTATTAATAAGCTGATTGGTAAATCTAAGATACAAGTACCCGTTAAGTACGCAAAAGAAACAAGCGATTGGATTAGAATATGAGCTTACGTGCATCGATCTTAATTCGACCTCGAAAGCCAAAGAAATAAGTAGAAGTTGATTTGAGCCCTTTACAGTTCTACTGGGTCCGTGCAAATACTGTTTGCACTAATTTTGGCACAAACTAACTACTGGTACATGTTCAACCTGCTACTGCTGTAGCCATAAGCTTTCGTTAATAAAAAGGTGCCACGACGAGGTAAGAGCTCACAAACTCCTTTTCCTTATAGGCGCAGATGTCGCTGCGCATAGTTTCTCTTTTCAATAACTGCAAAGACTTTATGAACAGCCGTACAAACATTGATAATAGATAAATATATAAATATATTTTACAATTTTATTTTTAAGCTTCCAATCAAAGCAAGCTTAATTAAATGTACAGCAGCGCTTCATGAAAACACGCAGTTTTACTATGCGAACTTAATAGTTTGGGAGCAGTGGTCAAGGCAATATTATTCTACTGAATTATGGCAATTCATCGGGTACAGTGCGTGACTATCCAAGCTCTGGGTTGCGCAATTCTGGACTACATGTACCAGCCCTGTTTGTCGTTGGGAGAAGAGAGATAAAACTATCCTCACCATAGAGCGCCTCTTGACGGGATCTCACACATGATTGATGCGATTGATCTTAAAGTTGATCACAACATTCGACGCAGCGTAGAGTTAACCGCTCGGCCGACACCGCACTTTGATCAACGTTGTCGATGATCTGTACGGCCCACGCAGGCTTTCCGAGGCATCCAGAATCCAACGAGCCAGCACCAAATCAAAGCGCTGAGTCAATGTTGGAAGTAACCAATCGTAGAAGAGAGGTTACGCTTGAAACGGACTCGTCTCTCTGACTCTGACTGGTGACAGCGTGTTGGGAACTACCGGAGAGTGCGGTAGCGGGAGTTGATCTTGACCTCTTATTGCTCACTTCAGCGGACAGCATCCCGTTTTGATCGGAGACACGAGACTTGTCATGACTCTTGGAGATCGTGGTGGTCTCTCGATGACGTGAAGTCCCGGGTGCATTGCTGTTGTCGGGGTGCGGAACGGTGAATAGGCCTGGGACTCGGGTGCCAGCCACGTCATGTGGTAGGCCTCTGGAGAGAGCAATATGCCGCTGCCTACTTCGAAATCGATATGCACTTTGGTGTTTTTATCTTCCCGTCGACTACATAGTAAGTAGAAAGCGTCGAGAAGTCCAGGGACGAACTTGAGCATTAGAGCAAACACCACGACGGTGAAAACGAGAGGTAAGGCGATAATGAGGATGTTAGCAAGGGGCATGATTTCGCTTCACCTTTGGAGTCCGAAAGACGAAATGAGTCGTTCACTTAGATGCTCCACAGAAATTGCCACGAGCTTTTTGGCCCATCAACACCGGCGTTGATGAACCCAGCGCTCCCTGTACGTATTGGCGCGTCTCCATACACGCAGGATACGACGCTGGACATACTCGAGCTTAATGACGTTTCGATGCAAATTCTACTTGAACTTGATTCCGAAACACTACACTAATTGTGTTGTATCATCGAGTAATAGAGGTCAGCTCTATAGCGTTGGTGCCAAACGGGTAACTGGAACCGAAGGAAAGACTGCGTGTATTTAGAGTGTGTGCTTTAATATCGACTGTTCTACACCTTAGCGCCAGGCGAATTGAGGTCCTGAAGTGGACAACGCGTCCGTCGGTGTCGCTTCCATGTGATATTGTCCTGGGACTTCCGTCGGGCCCGGCGTCTCCTTGCTTGCAGCCAGGATTGACAGTGCCAGTGTTGCCAGGAAAGCAAACATTCCGAGAAAGGTGAAGGCAACTGCAGTCTTGAGATTGTGGCAATGCCACAAGTGATCGCAGTAGCTGATGTGGTCTGAAGCTGCGAGACAAATACCTCCTATCAGCAGCGTCAAGGCCAATACTCCATCAATCCCTTGCTCAACTCGAGTCGACGTGCGAGTGGAATAGTTGAGAATCTCTACTGCCATGACGAACCACAGCGTGTAGAGCACTCCGGTGTAGTTGATGAGCAAGACGAAGTTGGACGAGTGGAAGGAGACACCCCCGGCAGCCACGAAGGACAAGCCGAGCAGACCACAGAGGAACTGAGCAGCTCGAAGTGTTCGCCTAGTTCTAGCCAGCATAGTGGGAGTCAAAAGATCAATCATCGGGCTGGAGCTTCCTGAGCTGTTGAGGTGAAAGCGAGAATGAAGGAGAAAGATCTACAGACTGCAAAACTGCGATTGCGGTGCTGCCTCCCGAAAGAGATTAACTTGCTCTTAAGCTAAGCTATAAAGGTCTCAACTTCAGAGATCTGGCAAGTTTTTCCCGGCTACCGACCCCAGGAAAGCCACGCTTTTCCCCGAAAAGGAGTATTTTCATTGCTGTAAGCTAAATGTTATCGTTGCAGAAAGCGTGGAAATGACTGTCTGAACTCTTCGTTTCGAGTCCAATAGCAGTGCACCTAAAGCCACAGTGAAACATGAAAGGAATTGAATGTTGTGTCGCCTTTTTCGTGGGATGTTACAGCTCTTCAGCGTCGAAGGTTGCCTGGATGATAGACGAAGCCTCTTTAAAAACGATGTGGCTGTAAGACTTAATTCTAATAAAGAGCTTGCATAAGACTGACCCTAAAAACTAAAACAAAAGCTGTATTTTAAATTTTATTATTCACAAAAATATTTAGAAAAATAGTACTACATAGTAATTTGTTTAATATCAAAAATATCACGCTTTTCCTCTCGGGACTCTGGGGTTCAAGAAATAATGCGGCTCGGCCCCGATTTGGTGGCAGCATGAACACCGTCTCAAGCCTAGAACAAATTGATCAGCTTGAAAATGTATTGAACGTAAAAGTTATCGTCGCGGCACTATCGAGCACACACAGCGACGTCCGAGGCGGTTTCGTTCCTGGCCACCCTTGGATATACTAGTAAAGTGCGCATACTCTTTTTACACCTTGGAAGCAGGTCCATCGTTGAGGTGGCCAATAGGCGACAGCGCGCCCGTGGGTGTGGCGTTCTGGTGGTAGGGCACCGGCTCCTCAACCTGAACGTTCGAGTGGCCCAGGCTCGACTCGCCGCCGGCCACAAATGTCAGACCCAACGACACGAGGAAGAAGAACATGGCGATGAAGTCGAATGCCGTGGCAGCGCGCAGGTTATTGCAGTGCCATCCGTAGCCACAGTTGCTGGTGTAGTCCGAGGCGGCCAGGCAAATACCGGCGATGAGCAGCATTAGGGTCAGCAGGGCGTCCGTTCCCTGTTCCAGGCGGAGAGCGGGGCGGTTGGCCAAGTGCAGCACTTCCACGGCCACGATGTACCACAGCGTGTAGAGCATTCCTGTGTAGCCCATAAGCAGCACGAACGTGCTGGAGCGCGTAGAGCCGCCGCCGTAGAAGCCAGCGGCCGCAAAGGACATGGCCAGCAGACTGCAGAAGAGCTGGAGGCCGCGAAGGCCCAGGCGCACATACGCGAGGTTCGTTGATCTCACAGCACCGATGGTCATAGCTTCGGTAGTACGAATTAGTTGGGACTTGAGTTCCAGTGAGCGGATCGGGAAATGACGCTTCAGGGGGCACCTCTTTTTCTCTCAAAAGTGTGGGTAGGCAAGTATGCGACATGCGAACTGGTTTTTCGCGTAGAAATGCATAGATAGAATGAGGTTTTTTTAAGAAGGCGCACCCAAGAAAAAGGGCAGGGCAAAAGCGACTTATTTTCTGACGTGGACTGACTGCAACATGCTCGACTCAGCTGAGTTTTTGCGGTGTAGGGACTACCATTTGCTACATTCTCATTTGCTTCACCCCCAAATGGTTGAGTGGCGTCCGTTGCTGTCACTCGAACGTGGAGCCGGGAAGACTTCCAGCACGCAACATCTCGGCGCTCGGATCCCTTCAGACTGCATGGGGGGGCGGTCGTGTTGCCTGCGATGGTGCAAATCAAGTGTTGACCGTTGACGGAGGAGAAACCGGGCCAACCCACACTTGCAGAGGCATCGTTTGTACCCAAAGACTGCCGTTGCCAATAAGGAAAATCCACTCTTTCTCCCGAATTGAGAGTGTTGGTTGTCCCGGCTGTCAATTTGTCGAAGAGGATTTATCTGGAGTGTGTTCAGTAAATCAGCTTTATGAAAGTGACCATGGAGCTCGACCCTAGCGAATTGTTACAATGGGGTCGCTCCAGGATTGACGCTGGCTGACGAGGGGTTTAAAAGCTTGTCAGCCTCTTTGGTGCCACCTCACTTAACGGTTGCTCGGATGAACTGCCACGATAATTATCATGCTTGCCACTTCTGCTTGGCGTCGCATCAGTCCGTGTCCCATGGCACCGTGTCTCGTTGGACACCCACATGGACTCTAACGTAATTGATCAACTTCACTGCTACCAAAACTACAACATCGCGTAGTACAAGTAGCAGTACTACTGCAGCACTACTGGTAAAATAGTAGTACCAATTTCAAAGGGCTGACATGTGAACACAGTTGACGGCACGTTCGACCACGAAGAGATTAAACGTGTGCTTTTAGTGCTCGCGTTCCTATGGGCAAATCTGATAAAACTGCAGCGCACGGCGCGGGCAGCGAGCTGCTCTATCCGCTGCAATTCAGTATCATTGCTCAGTCACACGAAGAGACCAACTACATAAGACCAAGTGCTAAACGGTATGTAAGAAGCTGATCTAGGCCCGTGGGGGTGGATGCCCCCTCGTTCCACTCTCATCAGCGCCTGAACGATGAAAAGGCCGAGCTCAGAACGAGCCCGGCCACCACCAAGCATTCCTTTTCCACGCCTGTAACAGAGCTAGCGCTACAGAGGTAAGCAAGTAAACTCCTGACATAAGAGCGTGGCAGTCGGTCGACAACGATTTTCAAAAACACAGCCACTGTAAGACTCGAGGCTTTATCTGCTTCTTCGGCTTCGGGGTGTTTTCCAAAAATGGTGGAGTACCAATGATTCACTGTCCTGTCCTTCAAAAATGACTGGCGTAGCAGAATCTTCACAAAAGTAACGGTATTAAGTGTAATGTAACCAATAAGTGTACACACTCCTCTCAAATTTGTAGCAATGGTTTCTACAGGATTACACTTATCCGAATAGAAGCCCATCAATTCGTCGTCGCCGCACGTTCGATCATGTTGCAATTCTTGCGTCGCGCAGCGGCAGCTTCAGCCACGCGGAGAGCCTTCGCGCAGGATGTTCAGCCTTTCAATGTGTCGCACAAGCGACGTGCATTGAACACGCGCTTCAGCAGCTCTCAACCCAGTGCGGACAAGCCACTAGGCCTCAAGGACGGCGTCAAGACTGCTTCCGGTCTGTCACCCACTATGCAGTTGCTAGCGGTGTATGTGGCCGTAGGTATGTCAGCCATGGGTGTTGTAGCGCGCTTCAAAACTCGCGACGCCAATGAAGACGAGGTGTGTTGCAAGCTTCCTTGTTGCATTTGCCAAAGTGTGACGACAAAAAGGCAACTTTGAAATTTCACTAACGCAAAAAGTTGCCTAACAGAACGTTCGCATCTTCAACATGGCCAAACGCGCTGTAGTAAAAGACCACCGTGTGTTTGAGACTGTGGGTTATCCGAAGGACTTTGAGCGCATCCGAGAGCTCGACGCCGACGGCTCGCCAGTCGAGCAAAAGAGCAGCGAAGGAAGCTTCAAGGTCACAGGCGACAAGTCCGTACTACCGTATCATTAACATTTGTGGCGTGATACTGACCTGATATTTTGTTGCCGATAGAGGGAGTGTAGTGGTGCATTATCGACAAAATTTGCATTTGAACGACGAAAAAGACAGCGACATCGTCACGTTCGACCAGCTGAGTGTGGACTGCGAGGACGGCACGCAGTTCTCAGCGTTGGAGTCGTTTCTACAGAACCAGGACGTCGTGACACACCAGAAGTCCGAGACACTAGGCAACAAGATGTTTTTCCCCGTCATCGGCGGTGTGTTGATCGGTGGCGTGGCGTCTTTCTTCGCTATCCGCATCCTGCATAACCGCCCGTTCTACGTCCACAAACTGGTGCTCGACCACGTCAACAACCACGACAGGGCGCGTCAGTTGCTCGGACACCCAATTAAGAGCGACAGGTCCAAATACGTCGGAGTGCTCACGAACGAGGCCGCGAACTACACCATCGCATGCAGTGGACCCAAGGGCAACGGCAACATCATCGTCAAGGCCTTCAAGAAGGGAAACCCGGACGAGAACTCGGACGAGAAGGAATCGACTGGAGTCATGACGACGCCCGGCACGTCGTGGAAGTTCTCGACGCTCGTGTTGTCTGTCAGTCGCAACGAAAAAACAAAGGCAAAGAACGCCAAGACCGTCAACCTATTGAGCGGAGGCGACGTGCCGCCATTGTCTTCGAAGCGAGCTTAACTCGCTCTAACTTTCAAGGGTCTTGACATAATAAAAGTAAATTTTGCTGAAGAGTTGCAATCCAAAACACTAGGTTAGATCTACTGGAAAAGAATGGCATTCCACGAATTGGGCACCGAATGTAAACTACACCCGCAAAAAGTGGCACGAGCACTGTACCCACGTGATGATGCCACTTCAATCGGCAATTTCTCTGCTTCTCCCACAGTTAAATATCT